TCCCCCCACCATGGGGTCAAAAGGTACCTAAGTATATGATTGCGAGTGGAAAAATAGGGGACAGAAATCAGATATTGGCAGTTTTTCCATTTTCATTTGTGTTTGAATTTTTAGTATAAAAGTGGGGATGTAAAGCATTAATGCAAGTCAAAATGTTTCAGTGAACAAGTTTCAGAGGTTCAACTTTATAACAATTATAAATAAAACTGTTAAATTGTACTGGAAAAAAAAGATTCTTTACAATCAAACAAGGTTCTAAATTATCTGTCAAATCATTTGCTATTTTCTGCTCACTGTAATAATGAACTAGCCTCATTTTTGTCCCAGTCTCTCAATACCTCTCCAACTCACCTTTTCTTCCTGCTCAACCAGCTGCCTTAACCCCCACTGCACTGGCAACGACACTTCTGCCTTAAAAATATGTTCTTTCCAGCTCATTTTTTCTAGGAGTTTGTTATTTCTAAACTTTTATGCTACTGATAACAACAAAACCACCAGATTCCTTTTTTTGTCTAATTTCACTCTCCTCCTTCAATTATTCCTTTCTCTCTTGCTTAGTCATAAATTCTAGGAAGTCCCTCCTATGGGGTCATTCACTTCCACTCCATCTTTCACTTTTTCTTTAGAGTTTCCAACCCCTTCCCACTCACCATCTCTTCCGTAATTTGACCTCAACCTATCTTTCAACCATTTCTTCCATCTTAAGGGAAGCCCTGCTCCAACTGGCCTCTCGTTGTCCCCAGCACGTGGGCCTTCTGTGGCTACAGCCAGGCATCCAGCCTCCCCCATGGTGCTCTTCCTGGCCTCCTCCCAACACCTGCCCTGCATCCATTCTGCACATTCTTTTGGGCAGAGCCTGTGGATATTTCCCTACTGTCCTCCAGCTCCCTCATCCCAGTCTTCCCTGTTCGCCAGCCATCTCCTCCATGCACCCCTTTCCTCAGGCTCACACCATGAAGCCTTACACGCTGCTCTAATTCCAACTTTCCATTGCTCTTTCTTGATCCGGCCTTTCTCCTGGTTTGGCTCATGCTCCTTTGGGAAGGAATTACTTTTTGATGGCTTCCTTCTCCTTCTCCCTCTCTTTCTCCTTGAGGCCTATATCAAGTGGTCACTTCTTCTGCATGAAATGGTCAGGCCACGTTTTTATTTGTTCCCTTATTTCTTGGGCCAATGATGGCATGGATATCCTGAAAAGACAGACATTCGGTTGCTGAATGGAAGAAATGCTTCTGCCTCTATTCAAAAACAGCCCTTTGGCTAATTAAAGAAACATGGCAATATAGTTCTCAAGAAGAACCCATACACCAGTCAAAGAATTAAGTATTTTGAAAATGAGAAGAACCACTTGGTCCATTTTTCAATAGAGACTGAGAACAAATGAAAAGAAAAGAGACAGGGAAGAAATAAATCAGAGTTCAAATAGAAATGAAGACAGAACTCTCTAGTTAAAATGTAAGTGAAAATATTGAAGCCTAGGACTCCAGAGGAGCCCAAAGCCTTATGTGTATACCTAAGGTTTCACCACATTTCCAACATTTGCCACCTACTCTTGATCAGAGCCAGAGCTCCCAAAAGGAACCTGGGACATAAAACAATGAGAATGATGGTGAGGGGATAGAAGGCTTTGGCATGATGCGAGGCATACTCTAATATGGTATGCTTCAAAAACAATGCACAAAACCCCAAAACAAGAAAGCAGTGTGAAGATGCCAGTGTTCTGTGGGGGATGTGCCTACAGTACCCATCCCTATTTGAATGTTGCAACTCACTGTCATCCAGAAGTGTCACTTCCTTTCACCTACCGCTGGGTGGCAGACAGCATTAACTGTGTCCCACCACCTCACCAAACCCACATTGACAGTAATTAGAGAAAAGCAACATTGGGAGGAAGGACTGACTCCTCTTACATCCATGTCACCCTTGGGAACAGAGCCTACTAGGAGCAGAATGCCGCCTCCACGTGTCCGTCTGCCTCAAGAAACAATCACAAACTTGATCCCAGAACTGAGACTGCAGCTCTGCTAATGTACATGCCCACTTTTGAGTTCGCAGAAAGTTTCTCTTAGTCCACTGTTGTGGTAGCCTCTGAAAAGTGTCAGCCTCCAGGGTAAGAACACATAGATGGCCAGGGTTTAGGGCTTCTGAGGACAGTAGAGTCCAGCATAGCCTCTGAGGTAGGCATCACCACAGTGCTTCAGGCTTCAGACCACATTCAAAATGGTTAGAAAGTCCTCACTATTCGTTCATTTAACAGATACCTGATGCTGTGCCACAGCTGAATAAGCTGTGTAAACAGGGCTCACACACAGAGCAACAAAGAACACAGTTCACTTTCCAGGCATTCAGTGTTGATTTCCTTCACTCCTTTTTCTAACCTTAAAGTCCTATCTGCTCACATCACATAGAAGACAAGTAAACAAAGTAATTCTGCCATAGTGCAACTTGTGGTATGACAGAGAATATGCTATGACGTGACATAACATGCTATGATATATGATATGCTACAATGTGACATAATATGATCCATGACATGCAAGTGACAGGAGCAGGTGGCATGCTAGCTGAGTCTTGGTGCTAGTGGGCTTGATGGATACTGGCCATGTAGAAAAATAAGAGGAGTTCACAGCATGATGGATTTGCATTTTGAGAAACAGAACAAGGATCTTTTCTGAAATCTGAACCACTTGGTAAAAAAGAGGGTAATGTCAATTTAAATGGCAACTGCTTACTACCTGCTTTGCTTTTCCTAAAACAAAGAGGTAAAGAGAGAAAACTCAGGGCAAAGCAGAGAAATTAATTTTTATTAACAATCAAATGCAAAAGAAATTCTAAATATCTGTCAAAAACAAGGCTAAGTGAACTATTTTTAAAGCAAAAAAAGACCCCTGGGCGAGAAATTTTACAGTCATCCTCTTTCTAGGTCGGAACTCTTGGAGAGTGAGACAAAGAAAAATCCAGACCTGGAGTAAGAGGAAGACAGGAGGAATCCTTTACCACAGAGACAGAGGTTTGCTTAACACACAGACAAGGACCAGGGTCACCAGGTGTCTCAGGAGAAGGTAACAGAAACGGAAATTGTGACTCCACAACAGAGGAAGAGGTGTCTTTATATTATCACCAGATTAAGTTAGGTGGAAAGGAAAAAGAAATGTTTAGACTATGACAAAGGGAAGATGCACGTTCAGTTTCTCCACCCAGAAAGCATCAGGACGCCTTGCAAACAGTAAATGTGATATGTAATGTGCCTGCACGAGCACTAAATGGATTCTGGGCTGAAATGAATCCTAAAATGCCCAACACCCGTTCTCTGCAACACAGGACAGGGAGCAAGGGGGGTTCCTCCTACAATGAACGCCTTGTCCGGATTCTCCTGCACCAAGCATGATGAAAGGCAGACCCAAGAAGGCCAGTTGTGTGTCTTAAGGCATAGAAAAACACGCAGAAGGGACCCCAGAGTGGTCCAGCGTCCCGCAACACAGGCTGGCAGGCGCTGCCGGGCACTGCAGGGGGAGCTGTGGGCACGCGGCCGTGCGACTCCCGGCTGCAGACCCACTTCCAGCGGGAGGCAGTTGTGTTCCCACACCTCAAGTCCCCAGTACTGACGACTACACAACTGGTTTTGTTTCTGGGAGCTCTTCTCTGTGATTAACTGCTGACGGCGAATACCAATGATGTGGAAGCACAGGGTTCAGGAAGGAGGGTCCTACTGCTCCACTGCTCTTGGTCTCCAGGAGGCACCAGGCAGAGACATCAGGCAGAGCCACTGCAGCCCAGGGCAGGAAAGACATTTCCTCCAGGGGAACAGACACATCTCTTGTCTCTCATTCCAGCACAGCTCGCTGACAAGAAAGCTCCTTCAACCTCTGGGCTCCAAACCAAATATAATTCCAATAAAACAAGCATCTCAAAGGCTTGTGATACTTATAGATGGATAAATCTGCAGCCCGGGTTTGTGAATTAGTGAGCGATCAGTGTCCTCAATTCCCCAGGTCCCATGCTGAAATTTACCCCAAATTGTCAGTTCTTAGTAACTGCACCTCAGATTAAAATCTTCTCACCAGGGAGTCTATGAGAATTTATTCTTGTGTTTTAAATCCTAAGTGCCTGTTAAACCGCCAACACTGCAAAATTGGAGACCATTAAACAATATAAGGCAGCAAGTGATTAAATCTACCAAATACACATTCAGAGCAGCTTAAGCTACTTTTTAATTAAAAATAAAAATATCATTGGCTAAATTCAGATGTCTTAGCTATCCAGAAAAAGTTCGAAGGCCGTTCAGAATGCACAATGCTGCTGCCAGATAAAAAAAGGAGAATTCAGGCAGGTTGGGTTGTGCAGGGGCCCCACTCGGTCCCTGAGGTAGGCATTCCCATGCTGACCCGGTTTCCAAGGTGGACAGAAGCAGGCCACCATGTGACTGCTGATGAACAAAGCTCTACACCAGAGGCCTGGAGGACACAGGGTTTGGACACAGGGTTTCTTCTTCCTCCTGGCAGGGAAGAGATTGAGGAACAGCATCGCAGGAAGCCCTGGCATCTGAGAGGCTAGATGCTATTTTTAAGTATGGCTCAGCTCACTGACCAACATTTCTTGAAACTGTGATTAGCTTTTGGGGAAGGAGGCATGGGGGCTTTTGCACTAATGGGATCACTTGAGATTAAAATAAATGTTTCCTGTAATGTAGAAGTAAATAAACATTGTAGCTTTAAGATGTTCCTACTTGTTTAAAGTAAAGACAAGAGAAGAAGGGCCAGGGGCTTAGTCAGCTTCGGGCAGGAAGCCAGAAATCCACATCGGGCTCAGGGCCCAATGATCTCATTCTGGTCCTGAGTCTCCTTCTGAAGCACCAGAACATTTACTGGTAGAACCTTACCTCACCCACAGTGTTCTTATTTTTAACTCTATTTTTTTCTCTAGAGAGTAATTTCCCAAATATGCTTTCTGCCTTCTATGTAAATGTTATAAATTTACTTTTAGCTTTGGAATGGTCTTACCTAAAAAGCTTGCCCTGAAGTACAGCACAGGCACTCGGTAGCTGCAGGAATGCAAGACGTGATACTCGTATCTGACTACTCTGGCTGCCACCTTGGTCTCAGTGGCCTCAGAATCATCTGGGGGCAGCTCTAAAGTCTCCTGAAAAAAAGCAAAAGCAAAAACAAAATGTGTTTGTCAATAAGAAAACTACTAACAGGGAGAGAAGATGAGGCTTTCTTCTTGCAAAATAACAGTTAAGTAAATATAGGGCTATGAGGTAAGAAAAAGGGAGTTTCCCATATTAATGTTTAACATTTGAGTCCTGGGTAAATAGTAAAACCAGAAAGCATTAGCATTAAGTAATTCCAGATTGTTTTTGAGAGACAAAGCAGCTCTGGGTTAAAAAAAAAAAAAAAAAAAACAGGAAGAAAAAAAGGCGAAAAGATCTATTGCAACAGCAACTCTGAAAAATCTTTACTGTACAATTTTAGCAACAAGATGATGGCTATCCGAGCTACCATCTTCCCTACCTGTGAAAGCTAAAAACATCCTAACAATCGAACAAGAGTCTGTGAGACGTCCCTAAAGGCTCCATTGTACTTGCCAAAAGATGATTCATCGTGCGCCGAGCAATTCCCAGTTCCATTTTGAATAAGGAAGTTATTTTTCAAGAGGTTGAGTTTGTTAGGTACATTTCAAAACATGAGATGCTTCTGTTTTCATCATTATTGTGCTATCTTTAGTGTATTTCTATGATAAATCTTGATTTGTAATGGAGGAGATTGCAAATATGAATGTCAACTCAGATAGGGTTTAAAAGCAGAGACGATGGTCAGCTCACATCTCACCTAATCATTCTTTACTGGCTGCTTTTTAGTTACATGTGGGGTCTTTAAATAATGCATCGGAATGTTTAGAAGCAATTAATTGGACACACTGAGTCAGAGTCTGGTCCATTCACCTTCCCTTATTTATTTGGGTTGAAGAATTTCCTTTGAACTTCAATTAGTAGTGGAAGGAATGAAGCAGGTTGGTTTGGCTGTTTCTGCCTCTCATTAAAACAGTAACAACAAGGATGAACAACCAGGAAGAACTGCAGGAGAGATTTCAAACTGTATCAATATGAAATAAGGCTTCCCGGGGAGATAAGAAAACCCCAGACTCCTTCCCAGATACCACCTTCCCAGAGCTGCGTCTCCTCCACAGATCACTCCTGCAATTCCCTGCTCCCAGTTAGCTCACCGGGGCGATCATCACTGCAGAGATTTACAAAATATTTTTCACTAACCTCCAGTGAACACTATCAGCTAAACACAATAAAATAACCAGAGAGAAATCACTGAAATAAATAACCCAGATACAGGAAATTCATACAGTAGTAAGAAAGAGGTTTTTCGGCCTTTTTTTTTTTTTCTTTTTTAAAGTTTTCATCAGGCATAGGTGTCTATGCCTTCTTTTACAGCAATTCTTTTAACCAAATCCTTTCTTTTTGGTCAATTGGGTGGTTTAGGGTTTATAATTTCTTTTCTTTCTTAACATTATAAAAGAACTATAAACAGTGCACAAGAGAAAAAGTAAAATTCCCTGCACCCCAGTACTCCTAAACCTCAGATTTGTGACCATTTTTGACAAGCCCATGTGAATTTCCTTTCTTATTTTTTGGTACACAAACACACATACACCTCCTCCCCACCCTGCAGTTATAGCCTCCCTCTATTCCCATATGCTCCTGGAGGGGGTATTTCACACATGCCAGTTGGTACCTTTAATGCCTTCGCTATATATTCCATTGTATGACCACACCATGTTGTTTTTTTGTTAACATTTCCAAATTGCTAGATATTTTAGGCTGATTATAAATATCTGCTACTACAAAAAAGACTGCAGTGACTATCCTAACACATATATGTCACATATCCTTGGACACCTCTATCTTTCTGGGGTGCAGATCCTAAACGTGGATTCACTGTACCAAAGGGCATGAGCATCTTAAGTTTCAAGAGATACCGCCAATCTGTCCCCAGAAAAAGGCTGTATTACATTATATTCCCAGAAAAAGTGTTTGAGAATGCCCTTTCCCCAGAATCAATAAATACTGATTATTATTTGTTTTATTTTTGCTTATTTGATAAGTTTTTAAATGATGCCATGTGGGGTGCAGTGCACAATTCATGGATTCTTTGACTCAACCCTAAAATAAATTTTAGAGTGGCCAGCAAAGTTTTAAAACAAAGTCTATTAGAAAAAGATGAGAGGAAAGATAGATATGCCAGAACTGGCATGAGTGAAAGAAAACCACGCTATTTGCTTTTTACAATAGGCTTGATTTACCCATTTAGTGATTAATATGTTAATGAGTAGGCAGGGGTATCTGCTCCAATCTCTCCACTTCTAATGGGTGGAGGAGTGGTCTTTTCCAGGGAGATATGCCAGACTTATCAATGCACAGGTTCGTGAGCTAAAAGGTGGACTTATTATCTATTTCTTTGGCTTTTTGATTCCTGGTCTGGGAACCACCTTGATGGAGTTTTCCTTTGGTGATCTGAGGGTGTGGGGTGGATTGAGAGTCCAAACTGAATTCACATTCCAGCCCCATTGAGAGTCCAAATTGAATTCACATTCCAGCCCCAAAAGCAGTTCAGCCTGCTGACAGCATGTCTGGATGCTTCCTGAAATCTGCCTACAAGAAATTCATTGGGCTGGGCACGGTGGCGCATGCCTATAATCCCAGCACTTCAGAAGGCTGAGAAGAAAGGATTGCCTGAGCCCGTGGGTTCAAGACCAGCCTAGGCAACTTGGTGAGACCTCATCTCTACAATAAATCAAAAAATTAGCCAGTCATAGTGGTGCATGCCTGTAATTCCACCTACTTGGAAGGCTGAGGTGGAAAGATCGCCTGAGCCCAGCGGGTCGAGGCTGCAGTAGATGGGAGCATGCCACTGCCCTCCAGCCTGGGTGACAGAGTAAGACTCCAATCAAAAAAAAAGAAAGAAAGAAAGAAAGAAATTTATCTATTTATGCCTAACCTGTATTAGCTACCCTGCCTCATTAAATGTCAATTTTTTGTTGCTTTAATTTCTCATTTCTTGATTACTAGTGAAAAGTGAGCAGCTATTCATAATGTTTAATGGCAATTTGTGTTCTGTGATTTGCTTGTTCCTATTCTTTACCTATTTTTCTGATATTTAGTTTGTTAGCATTTTTCTTATCGAATTGTACCAACTCTTTGTATATTAGAAATAATAACTTACCATTGGCGATAAACATATATGTCTACACCTTAGAAAAACAGAGGTATGCAAGGATGTATGTGACATATATACACATTTTACATATTCATATTTACACAAAACATTTTCAGCCCATTTTCTTTCAACTCTGTTTATTGTACTTTTTATCCTATAGGTTTTTCTTACTTTTATGTGGGCAAATCTGTATGTTTTCTGTTGTCAGCTTCTGGGTTACATGTGTTCATCAGAAGGCCTCCTGTCATGCCAACCTCACTCTTAACAATTACAAAAATGCGGCCAGGCTCGGTGGCTCAGCCTGTAATCCCAGCACTTTGGGAGGCCGAGGCAAGTGGATTGACTGAGCCCGCGGGCTCAAGACCCACCCGGGTAACTTGGCAAGACCTCTTCTCTACAATAAATAAAAAATTAGCTGGTAGCGTGCCTTTAGTTCCGGCTACTTAGAAGGGTGAACGGAAGGATCGCCAGAGCCCAGCAGGTTGAGGCTGCGGTGAATGAGAGAGTGCCACTGTACCCCAGTCTGGGCGACAGAGTGAGACTCCAACTCAAAAAAAAAATTACAAAAATGCAAAATTCCTTTATTATACACACACGGTTTAAAATTAATATGTAGATCATGAATCCATCTAAATTTTGTGTTCATATGTAGTGTGAGATAAGAGATTTTCCCAGATGATTTCAACGGTCCATCTTTCCCATTAACTTTACTTATTTATTTATTTAAAATGTTATTTTATTTTAGAGTTGTGAGGTACATGTGAGGATTCACTACATAAATAAATTGCAGGTAGGTGAGGCCGGGGCTTTTAGTAGGTACTCTCTCCTCTGGTAGTGGACCTGGTACCCAGTGTGTGGTTGTGTGCCCTTTCTCCCCACTCCCCCTACATCTCACTCCCCACATTAACTTTAAATGTCACTGTTTCTGTAAGTCAAGGGTGTGTGTGTGTGTGTGTTCTCTATTCTTCCCTGTTGAGCTGTTTCTCTTCATAGGCCACCACTGTGAAGTCTTCAGCGCACGTTGCATCCAAGGACTTGGGTCATTCATTTCTGCAGATGCTGCCTGACTCCAGGCCCAGTGCTATAAAGAAGGACAACATTTTTGGAAAGAATGTCCTTCACCTGAACTCAGACGAAGCACCAGGTGCTCAGCTAGGTGCAGAAGGAAGGCTGGGCATGGGAAGGTATAGAACACACTTCTGGAAGCACCAGCAGGAGGCTCTCTCCAGTCACCACCCTCACTGGTGGCTCAGGTCCTTTGTGGGATTCGAAGGCCAGGGACTTGTCTTCTAATTAGCACTGCCAAGGTGTCACCAGCCTGGCTCAGGTAGCCAGCTATGTGCAAAGACATTTTTGCCTCCTTTGTTCATATGAGATGAATCTGAATCCTTGTCTGTGTGCTAGGATCTGTCCATCAGTCATGGGCCCCTCTGCAATGCTGTGCAGATTTCATCCTTTGAAGTCATGCAATTTGGAAACCTCACACTTCTGCCTCCCTTTCCACCTAACAGTACCATAGGGTTTAAGCCCTTCAAGACTAAGGTTCTTGTCTCACCCACGGCTATTCTCCCAGAGGCTCTAGTACAGAGCTGAGAACCGAATGAGCAACGTTTTCTATCTCAGTCGACAGATCTGTTTCCTCCCATCGAAGTATATTATAACAAACATCATAGGCAATTTACCAGCGAACCCCCACCCAAGGTCTGAGAAGAAGTAGATGGGGGAGTAAAAATGCAGAATATCACCCAGAAAGATACACAAATGGCAAATATGCATATAGAAATACATCCAACCTCATTAGCCATCAGGAAGACACAAATTAAAGCTATATTGAGATATCACTATACATCTACTAGGATGGCTAAAATTTAGAAGAAAAAAAATAGTGACACCAGAGCATGTTAGTGAAGACAC